CGAACTTGGAGGTATCTTGGACCCTCATGGGCCGTCTCGGAGGCCGTCTTGGACCATCTTGGGTGGACCTGGAGGCCATCTTGGACCATTTTGGAGGCCATCTTGGGCCAACGTGACCATCCTGGAGGCCATGTTGGGCCGTCTTGGAGGAAGAATTGGGATTGGGCGATGGCGTGTGCGTCTTGCGGGGTCTTGGGGGGCGGCCGGCGGGACGGGCCGAAGCGCCAGGGGGAGTCCGCCGCCCCCTGTCGATTCATCGCAGGGGTGCCTTGCGTGCTAGAAGTCTCGGTTTTGGTTTTGGTTCTTTTTCCAAACGTGGGTTTCCGCCCGTCCCGCCGGGGTCCCGGGAGGCCCTTCCACGTGCACAAATTCCGGAACAAATCCTCCCTGAAACGGCCGTTTCGCTCGGGACATCCTCAAACAATCGCGAAGATGGCCCAAGATGGCCTCCAAGTCCGCCCAAGATGGTCCAAGACGGCCTCCAAGACGGCCCAAGAGAGTCGAAGACTGCCCAAGACGGCCCAAGAGGCCCCCCAGAGGCCTCCCAGACGGCCCAAGAGGCCTCCAAGAGGTTCTCCAGGAGGGCCCGAAGAGGCCAAACTCATTGTTTTTCCATAGGTTTTTGAAGGATTTCGGAATTTGCTTCTTCGCGGCATTCCTACGGCTCAAGACGGCCCCAGAGGCCCCCAAGATCGCGCAATAGGCCCCCAAGAGAGCCCCATGACGGCCCAAGTGGACTCCAAGATGGCCCCACGAGGGTCCCAAGACGGCCCAAGAGGCCTCCAACACGCCCAAGATGGCCTCCAAGACGCCCAAGATGGCCGCCACGACGGCCCCGAAGCGCCCCAAGAGGGCCCCAAGTCGGCCCAAAAAGGCCCCCAAGACGGCTCCCGACGGCGTCAGACGTGCCAGGAACCCACAAAGATGGCCGAAGTTGGCTCGAAGCTGGCCCAAGACGGCCCAAGAGGCCCCCAAGGGGGCCTCCAGGAAGGCCAGAAGAGGCCAAACACATGGATTTTCCTAAGGATTTTGACGGATTTTGGCATTTCCTTATTTTCGGCCTTCCAACGACCCGAGACGGCCCAAGAGCCCCCAAAGATCGCCGAAAGATCGCCCAAGAGGCCTCCAAGACTGCCAAGATGACCGTCAAGATGCCCACGTGTTCCCCGAAGGCTTTCCACACCGATTCGGGGAACACATGGTCCGATGGCTTGGCGGGTCTGGCCTCAACGTTCGGCCACATAGGCGCTTCCAAAAAGGCAGGGGGCGGCGGTGGTTCGCCGTAGGCGTCTTCGATACTTTTGGAAAAAGAACCAAAACCAAAACCGAGAGGTCTAGCACGCCAGGCACCCCTGCGATGAATCGACAGGGGGCGGCGGATCTGGTGGCCTTCGGCCCATCCCGCCACTGTGGATGGGTTCTGGGTCAGAGTCCTCATGGATGTTTCTTGGGGTCTCTTCGGAGGGCTCTCGGTGGCCCCCTGGGGTCTTTGGGGCCTCTTGGGGCCTCTTGGGGGCCCTCTTGGGGTCCGTCTTGGGGGTCCCCTGGGGGCCTCTTTGGGCCCTCGTGGGCGTCCTGAGGGCATGTTGGGGCGGAGAGCTCGAAACATGAGTTCATGTCCCCCCTCAAGGATCCCCCGGTGGGGCGTTCCTTTTGAATTGTCTAGGATGCCTCTTGGGTCGTCTTGGAGGCCTCTTGGGCCGTCCTGGGGCAATATTGGTGGCCTCTTGGGCGATCATGTGGCGATCTTTGGGGCCTCTTGGGCTGTCTCGGGCCGTCGGAGGGCCGAAAATGAACAAGGAATTGGGGAACATCAAGGACTTGTGTTTCTTGGGGCCCTCTTGGGAGTGCTCTTGGATGCATCTTGAGCCGTCTTGGAGGCCTCGTGGGCCGTCTGCGGCCACATTGGGCGTCTTGAAGCGATCTGTCGGCGAATCGGAGCCCTCTTGGACACATCGGAGGGTTCGGGAGGTCGTTTTGGGTGAGCACAGGGTCCAGAGGATCAGCAGGAAACACCCCAGAACTCACGGGAGAATCCCTGGAAGACCTCGGGACGCACGGAACTTCAGAGCATTGGGCCTTTTAGGAATTAAAATCGTGGTTGCGGCAGCAGCACAGCTGTGAGCCTTGAGGCATTCTACTTCGTGTCAGAGGCACGGTGGAAGGTTGTGAGAATTCTTTACGCTTCGCGTATCCCCACCAGCCCATCTCACAGCAGCAACTCTGGCGAAGCATGCCGACAGTCGTGTTTTTCAGGCGTGTGTCCGCTTGGCCCCGCATATCTCCCCTGTTCCTCCTTCCTCCTGCCTCCTTGTACATCCTCCTTGTGGGGGGAGCGGGAGAAGGACGAGGCGGAGGAGAAGGGAGAGAAAGCGCTCCTCGTGATTTAAGTCGTTTGGGGTTTCTCGTCCTGGTGTCAGTCGTTCGGGTGTCAGTCGTTCGGGCCCTTCTTCCTGGTGTGAGTCGTTCGGGCTCTTCGTGGTGTGAGTCGTTCGGGCTCTTCGTCCTGGTGTGAGTCGTTCGGGCTTCTCGTGGTGTGAGTTGTTCGGGCCCCTCGTCCTGGTGTGAGTCGTTCGGGCCCCTCGTCCTGGTGTGACTCGTTCGGGCTCCTCGTGGTGTGAGTCGTTCGGGGCCCTCGTCGTGGTGTGAGTCGTTCGGGCTCCTCGTGGTGCGAGTCGTTCGGGCGCGTCGTCCTGGTGTGAGTCGTTCGGGCCCCTCCTTCTGGTGTGAGTCGTTCGGGCTCTTCGTTGGGGCCTCGTGGAGCTATTGGAGCCTCTTGGGCCTCTGGTGGCACAGCCGTTCGGGGCGAGCTTCTTGGGGGGCCTACGCAGACGGGCGCCTCCTTGGGCTCTTGGAGGCCTCTTGGGGGACCTATGGTGGGCCTCTTGGGGGCACTCCTGGGAGACCGCTATGGGGCAGCCTCTGGGGGGCTCTTGGCCTCTTGGGCTTTAGGGGGCCATCTTGGCCCCTCTGGGGGCCTCCTCAGAAGCGCAAGCGAGAGCTGCCCCCTGAAAAGGACAAAATGGGGACAAAACCTTCGTAAAAGCAATGATTTTGCTATGACGGAAGATGAGCGCGGCCCCACGAGGTGCCTCAAAAGCACCAGTAAATAAACCCGACAATCAAATTTTGATTGTGCGTTGTAATTTGTTTTTTGTTGTGTGTGTTAAATTTTATTTTTTTTGTGTATAAGGTTGTTTTTTTTTTTTTGGTTTTTTGTTATTTTAAAGAAGAGCAGAGGGGCCAAACTGGGTCCCCCCGTCGGGGCCAGAATCCTCGTGAGGGTCGTCGTTTTTTAGCCCTCCCAGGAGTCGAAAAAGACACATCCAACGACCCGCGAAACCCCCTTTCCAGGTCCAGGGGGAGGGGGTAGGGGGAGGGGTAAACCCCTCCCCGAAGGGGAAGAAGGGGGGTTGAGAACAGAGAGAGCTCCCTAAACCACGCACGCCCAAAGGGCTGGTGGGATTAGGAGGATCAGAGCGTTTGCCGTGCAGCCGACAAGCGATGTGAATTTCAAAGGCCAATCGGGAGGACGGACGACAGCACCGGACAATGACCATGAGACTGATGAGGCGGAGCCTCCAGTTCTCACAATTAGCTTGCCTGAGCTGTGTCGGCACAGCACTCGGATGCCTGATGGGGCTTCTCCGCGAATGTTGGGAAATCGAGTTGACTGCAGAGCAATAGCGCGCTGCGATGTCTCCATCTGACAGCATTGCCTTTCCATGGGTTGTCATGTTATCAGTACTGCTTTTAGCTGCCAGTGCCGACACGCCAGCGTACACGAACAGGTTAAGGACTGTCTTCATTGCATGCTCGTCTTCTCCGGGTTACAGTAAGTTGCGGCTTTGTCGTGGTCGTCGTTGCCGACGTAATTTCCCTTACCAGTCTGCAATGTCAGGCAGGGGACAACTGCAGTCACCCTGCCACTTACCAAGTATCGGTTGCGAGCCCCTGACAGTAGCTACCCACTTATTTGTGCGTGCATACGCCATGGTACGCTGTCTAGACCGGCTACACTCGATGAGCCTGTCTGAGGTGCGAATTGCAATCAATAAGGTGGCGTTTGCTGCGACGAGCACGATGCGACCAGTGTTCATGTTCACGTGTGTGGGAAGGGCTACCGTGTGACATGGTCAACACGTGCCAGGTAGGCCAGTAAAGTTTGTCACCGAAGTTGAGACTCGAAGCCTATTGCTAGGGTAGGCCAGGGCAGATGGGGTGCGCCGATGTGGCATCGGGTATCCGAATGATCGATACTGTGCCACGGTCGAGCGGAGGACTCGGGGGTCCCAAAACGGTGCGGTGACGGACCGCGAGGTGACCTCGAAATCCCAAGAGACCTCACCGCATGGTGTTGGGACCTCCGAGGCCTCAGTCGCCCGAGACCTCGGAGAACGGTCCAAATCCCAAAACGCGGTCACCCCGAATCCCCACACTCACCACATGTTGTGGTCGCTGCACCGTTTGAAAGCCCCCGAAGGATAAAGAAAGCTACCTCGAAAGCATACCCCTCCATTCACACGCGGGGGCCGAGGCTCTCCTGAACCAGGTGCGCCTTTGCCAGGCGGAACCTCTGACCATCTGGCCATCTGCGCGATAGGATCGCCTCTCCGGCACTATGTGCAGAAAGCCATAGCCATCCTCGTCCTGCGGCGCAGGGCCAAGAACGCGAACTACCGACCCAGTCATGTATGTGGATGTGGCCGTGCACCATTTGGGCGTGCACGGGGTCGAGTGCTTCCAGGAAGTGGCCCAGTTCCGCCTGGACCCCGCCCAGTGCTTCCAGTTCGTGCGTCGATTCGCCGACCACCCCTCCTTCACTGACCCTCTCTTTTTCGCCCGACCCGAACAGCGACAGCAGATCTAAATAGCAGGGTCCCTCCCCCGTCCCTTCCCACAACGTCAGGCAACCACATATCCGTTCCCCCTCCCCGTCGCCCCCCCCCGTCCCCCCCTTCTGTCCCCTCCCCGCACTCCCCCCCACCCTGCCGCACCCCCCCTTCCCCCCCCTCTCCCCTCTCGCTCGTGACTCTCTCCCCCTCCCATCGGTCGCCGCCTGTGCCCTCGGCATCTTCTGCGACGCCCTCCGAGGCCTGCCGCACCTCGCGGCCGCTCGCCAGGCGCTGCTCGTTCTCGGGCGGCGCTCCGAGGCCGCACTCTCTGAGGCTGCAGTCCTGCCCCCTGCGCAGTGCCCTGCCCCTCCTTCTTCCGAAGGTGAACACGCTTTCAGAGCTCCGCGGGGATGTCTTGGATCGGCGCTGGGCCCCGTGGCGGCGCCTCCAGCGCCGCCTCTGGCGCGCTCTGCGAACCCGCGCGGATCCAGGACATCCGCACGGATTTTTCTCAAATCTCCTTTGCCCTGAGCTATCGCCCTCTCGGCCCAGGCACGAATACATGGGAGGGAGACTTCTGCCCTTTGGCTGCGGGGCTTCGCTTCGTCATCGACATTCTGTTGAACCCAGGGCGGGATCGGCTCTCTGACCCGATCCCCCCTTGCACACCTCTCCCCCCTCCCCCCCTCACCCCCTGCCCCCCTGCCCCCCCCCCCTGTCGCCCAGCCCGAGGCCGCCGTGCCGCGGCCCCGCCCCTCTTGGTCTTTCCCGAAAGCGCCGTCTCCCGGGCGCGCGCGGGGGGTGGGGTTGCCAGAACGGGAGCCGAGGTGTCTCTTGGCGGCGCGCCGACGGGGCAGGCCTTCTCAGAAGGCGGCCGCCGAAAGACTGGCCTTCGCCAGGGTGGCCTTTGGCGCGCGGTTTTCGGGGAGCATGGCGGGGCCACGCCCGGACACGAAGGTTACTACTGTTGCATCGCACGCAGCGGTTGGCCAGCCGCGCACCAAAGTACACTCGTGCCCGGGGAAACCCCTTCGCGTGGCCGAACCGTGCCGTTGGCCTAATGTGTCCCCAGGGTTCCCAGGGAGGCCCCCACGGCCGCAAGAGCACCGCTCACGAAGCCCAGCAGGCCCAGGGGCTCCAGAGTGGGGCGAAGGCTGGGGGGCACTTTGGGCCAGGGGCACCTCCCGGGAGATCCGATGCCTTGGGTTCTCTAGGGCCGACTCTTCATCCTGAGCGATTGTTGTGACGGCCCCCTGGGCCGGAAACTACGAACATGCAGCGTGACGATGATGATGATGGTGATGATGATGATGGTGATGATGATGATGACGACGATGATGACGATGATGATGATGACGACGATGATGATGATGATGGTGATGATGATGGTGATGTTGCTGAGGATGCTGATGCAGATGCTGATGCTGATGCTGATGCTGATGCTGATGATGATGATGATGATGATGATGATGATGATGATGATGATGATGATGATGATGATGACGGTGATGATGCTGCTGTTGATGATGGTGATGATGATGATGTTGTTGTTGTTGTTGATGGTGATGCTGATGCTGCTGATGATGATGATGATGATGATGACGATGATGATGATGGCCGTGTCTGCACATCTCATCTCAGGTGGAACCGAGGGCCGTCGTGGTCGCGCCGATGAGCCGCAACCGCGTCGGCTCAAGTCTTTCTGGAGGGTGAGGCCCTCGCCCGGATGCGCTTCAGTGGCACCGGGTTCGGCCTCCCGCTCGCGAGCAACGCCATTCTGCTGCTGCTGGCTCCCTGGTGGTTTCAGCCGACCGCGCCCGCGGTCCCCGAGGCGCTTTCGGCGCCCGTGCAGGCGGCCGCGCCGCCCCCGCTGTTCGAGGCGGGCCCGCTCCCAGCGCCGGGTGAGGCCGCTGGGGTCCAGGTCCCGCTGGCTGACTGCCTGGCGGCTGCCCTGGACGCGGGGGAAGCGGCGCGCGCCTGCCCGTCGCCCTGCCCGCCCTGCCCCGTTTGCGAGGCAGGGAGCGGGCCCTGGCCTTCCTTCGCTTGGGAGGCGGCGCTGTGCGGCTTCCTGCTCCTGGCCTCCGAGCTGCTGCGCCGGGGGCTTTCGCTTGCCGTGGCGGCGGGCCGTATCCCTTGCCGGGGCCGCGCCAGGCGGCCCGCCATCGGGGGCGACCCGAACCCGCACGCACCACAGCTTGTGCGGGTGGATTCGCCTGAGCGCCGTGGTCCTCGCGTTGGTGGGCTGGGCCGTTTCTCATGAGATCAGTGGGCGACGAGATCTGGGTCGAGTATGACGAGCCGCCGCCCCGCTTGGCGCATCGTGGTTGCCATGTCGTCTCGAGACTTGGAGCACTACGCGGTGCTCACGCCAGACTTTGACGTCTACGTGGAGGAGTGCGACGGAAGAAATGCTGACATCCGCAATGGGTGGAAGGAATGGGGCCACGCCGCGGCGCCGCCGGGAGCCGTCATCCCAGCAGGGATTCGACGGTACGACTTCGCCGCGCCGCCGACAGTCGCCCAGCTCGCGCAGGCCTGCGCTTTGGGTGCCGCGAAGATCGCCGAGCACGACCAGGCCGCTGGGGCGGGCCCCGTGGCTGCTGCCTCTGCTGCTGGTGCTGGTGCCGCTGGCGGTGCGCTCCCTGCCCTCGCTGCTCCCGCCGGCGGTGGGCCCCTGGGAGGCGGCATCGCTGCGGGCGCCCCCGCGGCCGTGGGCGGAGCCGCCGCCGCCGCCGCCCCCGCCCCGGCAGCCCCTGCAGGCGCGGCGGTCGCGCCTGCCGCTGGAGGCGGGCTTGCGGGGCTCGCAGCACTGGTGGCTGGGCCGCCTGCTGGAGGAGATGACGGCGCCGCTGCTGCTGGGAACACCGGAGTCGATGGAGGCGGAGGTGGCGGACTTGGGGATCTTCGGACGTTCGCGATGGCGCACGACTCGCAGGGCCAACGTCACAATGAGTTCAGGGAGGGCGTCCAGCTCATGCGGCCCACGTCCTTCCCAGACTGGCCCATCCCGGGTCCCTCCACCTACCACTGGGTTGCGACGTACCAGGTGGAGAACGGCGGCTCGCCCATGGGTCACCACTTGGCCTGGGAGGCGGCCCTTGGCTCGACGGTGCCTGTGGACGACCCGATCGTGTCCATGCACCACGAGTACTCCAAGATCATACAGGTCGCGCAGTCGTGCGACCAGGTCGATGGGTCGAATCTGGCGGCGATGGAGCTCGTCGCGAGACAGCTCCAGCTCTGCGACGAACGGTACAAGGACAAGCTGGTATGCTCGCGCTTTCTGGGCAACGGAGGCGATGGGCAGTTTTTCTTCACGGGCATGCAGTCCACGCGCGGGCTCGCGGTGGCGCCCACCCTGTCCGAGTGGATCTCGAAGCAGCTGGCTGCCGAATCGGCCATCGCGAAGGAGCGCCGCAAGGCGCGCGAGGAGCGGCAGCTGCCCCGCCCGCCCGCTGGCGGCCGTGGCGGTGGACAGGGCGGCGGCGCGGGCAAGGCTGGGAAGTCTTAGCCCTCGTCTCCCTTGGTGCTCGCAGCGGCCGCCAGGACTTCGGCCATCCTGGAGGGCCCCCCTTCGGCCCATCGCTCCTGGCGTCTTGGTCGCCGCGCCGCGGCAGTCAGCCGTCGGCGACGTGTCCCCCCTCTTCCATTACTTCCTCGCGACGGCCCCCTCGACGCCGGCGGGCGCGCCGCTGCGCAGGCTCGGATCGACTGGGCCAACGACGGCATCGAGGCGCTCAACTGGCTCGGCGGGGGAGGGGCGCCTCCAACTCGGAAGCGGCCCACAGTTATGCAGCTGCGGTCGCTCGACTACATCGCTGCTCTGCACGTCAAGTTGGACGGCCCGCCTTCTGACATCTCTCCCGCGAGCTCGCTCTCCGACATCTGCCCCAGTTGCCCGCTCTGCTCTGCTGGTTGTGGCGACGCGGTCTCCTACTGCAAGGGCCTCGTGCCCTGGCCTTCTGGCGGCTCGGCGCCTGCGGCGCTGCGCGGCGCACTTCTGGAGGCTGACCGTTAATGGCTGCAGGATTGGAAGGCCCGCGCGCCTCGCCCTCTGGCGGAGGCAGCGGCTCTTCGACGAGATCTCGGACTTGCTCAACCCTACATGGACCCTAAACTGCGACACCCTGCCACCTACGGGGGTGTCATCACGAGCTCCTTGGTAGGGGCATGCTGCGCCTGTCTCCTGCTCGCGGCCGGCGTGGTCTCCGCGGGGTCTTCGCGGTCGCCAAGGAATCTGGCCAGCAGCGGCTCATCTTCGACGCCCGCGCATGCGACGCGCGGTTCGGACCGCCGCCCTGCGCCGAGCGGCCCAGCGGCAGCGCTTTCGCTCGCATGGAGACGCAGGGCTGCGGCGACACCTGGTTCAGCAGCGGGGGCATCGCGAACGCCTTCTACGCCATGCAGGTGCTGGAGGATCTCTGCGAGTACTTCTCGTAGCCGCCGGTGCGCGCTGGTCCTGCTGGTGTTACTCAGCTGGGTGGCATCGCGATCCGCGAGCCCGATTGGCTGCTACCTGAGCTCGCGACCTCACCGATGGGCCGGCCCCGGGCCTTGCACCTCTGCCAGCGTGCATCCGAGGCCGCGCTCGCTCGAGCTCGCATCGGCCCCGCGCAGCAGGTGCGCGACCGCAGCCGGGGCGTCGCGCTGTCGCCCGAGCTGCCTGCCGCTGGCGCCGCGTGCGTCGACAACTACCTGGTGGCAGGCCCGCAGCGCGCCAAGGTCCAGGTCGTGGTCAGGAAAAAAACGAGCGCGAGCTGTCTTACCTCGGCTTTGTCGTCCACGAGCAGGTCGAGGCTACCAAGACTACCAGCTTCGTCGGACTGGAACTTGATGGACATCACCACTCAGCGCGGGTCTCCGCACGACGAGCCTAGCGGCTTCGCCGCGCCGTTGAGGAACCCGTCCGCCGTCCGAAGGTGCGCGGGTCCATCCTCTAGATCGTCGTCGGCCACTGCACCTGGGCCATGCTCCTCAAGAGATGCTCGCTGGCGATCTTCGACGCGGTCTACGCCTTAATCCTTGTGTCGCGGGACGAGGCGCTGCCACTTTGACCTCTAGTGCGTCGCGAGCTTTGGCAGGTTCGGTCGCTGCTGCCGCTCTTCGTCGTCTTCGCTAACGCGGACTGGCATGGCGAGATCGCCGCCAGCGACGCCTCGGGCCGGGGCTGCGGGGTCTGCCGCCGCCGCTGCGACCGCGAGACTGTGGCCGAGATCGGCCGCACCGCGGAGAGATGGCGGTTCCTCTTTGAGGAGTCGGCCCGCGCCCGCGATCACGCACTGGGCCCTGGCTCACCTGGGGCTGTGCTCCGCGATCCTGGCGCCCTGCCGTCGGGCGAGGCCAAGAACTGGGACGTGCCCTTCGGCGAGGTCGATCCGAACCTCTTCATCGGTGACGGC